GAGGAGGGGGTAAAAAAAATTAAAATTATATATAAGAACCTGATTTTTTTTATATTAAAAGAGGAGAGGTAAGCCAGGATCCTAAAGATCTCTGATACAACTTAGATCTGAGTTTGTATAATATTAGCCAAATAAGCGTATAAAATAGGCCAAAATTTAAAAATTTACTATACAAAAATGCAATGTTGGATGAATTTTTACGCAAAATTGCTTTTTTTAGTAACCTCTAAGTTATATCAGAGATCTTCGGGGTCCTGGTAAGCCTTTGATAAAAAATAATTAGGTGATAAATGATACTACCCTTATTGTAACATTGTGTCTGAGTCTCTAGTCTTAAATATTCTCTGGATATAAGGTTAAACCAAATTTTTATTTTATTTTATATTTTTATAAAATTTAATTTTAAGTTATTATATAGGCTAAAAAAAATTAATATTACAAAATTTATACAGTGCAGAAATTCTTAAACCAACAACTTTTTTAAAAGTGGCCAAATTTGAGAACAAATACTAAATTTTGATTGGCTAATATCTTAAAAATTTATGTTTTTTAATTTTGTTATATTTTTAAAATTTTGTTATATTTTTTATATATATGTGGCCAAATTTTGATTTTATTAGTAAATTTTAAAAAGAAATAATATTATAAAATTTTGTTATATTAAAAAATAAACTCTATAGTTTTGTTCTGCTTGCTTGCTTGTATATTTTATAGAAAATTTTTTCTTTTAATTATATTTTTTATTTTTTTATAAAAGTTTAAAGAATTATTAGTTTTCGGTTGCTAATTTAAGGATTCCTGTACTGTAGTAATTTTTATATTTTTTTATCATAGTTATATATATATAATTGCTTACAATATTGTATAACAAATCATATAACTGATATGTATACAAATATTATATAATTGTTTTAGTAGATATTAACGATTTGAATTTATTAGTATTCATTAAAGATTAAATTTATTACAATATATTTTAGTTATTATTATAAAATCTATATAAAATTTTATTACAAAATTTAAAGCTAACATTAATGCTTAAATTTAGGTTTTAGAGTGCTGAACATGTTTACTTAGTATGCTAAATACCGATTGCCAAAGCCATTTTCGAGAAACAATATACCCGGTGAATTTCATCTCTAGTAAGCGTTAAAATTGTCCTAATTATTTTTATTTGTTAAATGCCTATATTTAAATTTACAAAAATTTATAGAATTAATTTAAATGTCACAACATGTTATATGTTGCAACCCAAACAAATTTTAGAATCATGTATAACGTAGATGATTAACAAATCAAAAAATTTCCAAAAAATCGCCAATAACCCATTATTACTGTACAAATAAGTTTGTAACAAGTTGTTACAAATACATTTTTTCAAACTCATAAACTAACTTTGCTATTTTAAATCAATAAATAAAATTAATCAAGCTCATCAATAGATCGAGTTTCTATTAGTTTTTTAAATTCATTTGGATCCCAGTCTTTATTTTCCAACAAATCAGTAGAAGCAGTCCAAACATAAGTTTGAGTAGTTATAGAATTCAAAGAATCACCAACAAATACTTTAACATCTATTCTTTTATATGTCTACAGATTGTATTGATAAATATGATTACTTAAAGAAATATTAAAAAATTGTAAAGATGGTTACGAAAAAAAACCTTACATCACCCTCATAATCATCAAGTTTTAAAACATCATTATAGGTAAGACCTTTAACAACAACACCTTTTGCTTCATCATTTTCTTCACCTTTTATTATGGCCGGATACCAAGCTCCACGGACTTGATAACGTTTATATCCCTTAATAATGAGCATATCAGATAAGTTAAAGTTTCAATATAGATAAGCAGTTTATAAAATATTCACAATTATTATGAATTCTTCATAATTTGTAATATTTGTAATAATTATGAATATTCGTGATAAGGCTATACAAAATTAATTTATATGTTTTCGTACATAAAAATTATGAACCAGATCCGGCTAACCGGCTCATTTTTTTTTAAAAAAAATTTAACATATAAAAATTTTATAAAAAAATTTTTTACAATATCCACCATGAATATTTTTAAAATTTTGATCTGGACGCTTATGAAAAATTTTGTATGGTCTAACTCTTAAAACCATGAAATTCAAGTGCTGTATATATATATTAAGACTTTTGAATATAAACACTAATCCTAAGTTTACCTTTTGGATCATATGATCAGACAAAAAAAAATCAGTGCACTTAGAGAGAAGATATACTTCACTGGTATATTACCTTTAAAACAGCTGGAACACCGGAATCAAGGTCAACAGAGATTTGTTTTTTCCCACCATCACTAAGTACGTGTCTCATAACTTCTGGAAAAACCAGTGTACCATAAACGAAACAAGAAAAATTGTCCGACATTTTTTTGCTAAGAGAGAAAAGAAAATTACGATGTTTATATAGTGAATTTTAATCCTTTTTTGAAGCTTAAAAGTTACACGTTTCGTTATCTTTGGTAATACAAAAATATCAGATCGGGTAAATTCAATAGGCAAGCAAAATAACCGGTTATCTTACGTATCTGTCTGTTCCTAGTTAAATTGACGAATAATTCAGATTAAAATACAACCTTAATTTTAGAGGAATCATGATCCTAGGAAAACTTTGTAACATTGACTGATTTGAGTCAATTTGGTCATAAGTAATAAGCAAGAAACAAGAGATCTTTGCTAGTGTTTTTTTCCTTTTAAATCGACTGGACATTCAGATAAGCAGAGTAGTACAGTATTTTACAAAAGAGTAGTAACTGCCATTGATTTTCAATTTAACAGTATTTCTTAAGGTTGTTTCACCAAGAAAAAATCAATGTTGAAGCCATTTCTAGCTTTAAACAATAATATTAAGGATCCGAATTTAATCCGAATAGCACCTGAAGAATTCTAGTAACTCCTGATTTATAAACATCAATATTTTCACGTCATGCACCAGTGATAATTTCTTTTTGAAACAAAGTTTTACTATGCGACTTGTTTTGTTTAATTCAGTGCCGCCAGAGGAAAATCGATGAATCAAGCATAACTACGGATTTGCTGAATTGGTTTTACATGGGCATATAAAATAATTTACGTGATACAAAACTATTACGTATACCATTATTAATTATCCCTTAACACTGGAACTTTTACTATTACAAAATCCCACTGGAAGGCTAGAAATTCCCACTGGAAGCCAATATACGTAATAAAAACTTACATTAAATAGAATCGTATATTTTTAGTCACTAAAATTTAGGATCATTTTACAACCCAATTACAGTATATTATATAATTGGAAAATTTCTTTGTATTCGCAACGCTCTTATGTAAACCCGGGTTATGCTTGACGAGGTAGGGCAGCTGTTAAAAATTGAAAAAAAACCGTGCTATTATTATCGCAAGAAAAAATAAACAATTGTTTTATTTATTTATATAAGTGTTATAATGAGCTAAAAAAGATCACAAACAATTAGATTGTTATAATTAACTATACTGTAAAAAAAATTTTTTTGTTACAGTAAGATTCACGACTTATTAATTTATTCATACAATTAAGCTCTGGACAATTGTGGACAATTCTGAACAAAAAAACAAATCTAAATTACTAAAAATTTTATTAGGATAACCTATTTTGTAAAAATATTCAGAACTATATATAAAAAATATAAAATCATGTCTTTTTTTAAATTAATTTATTATTCAAATCGATATCCTTTAAACTAAATTTTTTCTAAACCCATCTAACAAAATTTGATGAGGATTTTTTATTTTGATTCTGTAAACAAATAAAAAAAATTCATTAAATTTGATTATATAGTTGTCAAGATATTGTTGCTCAAATTTTAACGGTTGTTACGTTGTTACAGAGAAACATCTTAAATGCAAAATGCACCCTCTCTAAATGAACTACATCCATAAATACATTGTTAAACACAGCCCAAATATATTTTTAACACCCTAAATGCGAATTTTCTTATTATTCTCTAAATGCGCATTGCCAAGAGTTTGAACTGGATAGGGTGCATTTAGGAGGTTTCTCTGTATTATATTTTGAATTTCCTAAAACTTTAAAAAACTTTAAATATGTATATATATATGCCGCAGAATATTTGATTAAATATTAATGGACACCTTTAATCACATGATTACTTAAGATTATGTTTAATTTCGTCTTACCAAGATGATGTTAAAAGAACTATTAACTTTGAACTACCATATGATAAATTAATTTCATGTTTATTATAAATATAAAAATAACATTGATGCTAAATTTATTACATGATCAAATGATGAAGTTAGTCATGACCGTTCTAGTATAAAAATAACGTTATAATTAAAGCCAAGAATATAGAACAGATAACAATAAAGAACCGTGTAAAGAAGAGCAAACCTTTGCTTATTATTACTTATGCACTTAATTACATGGTAACAGAAGTTAAAACTGAAATTAAGCAAGAAAAAGTATACTATAGTGAAGTGATCGGGCAGTGAGATTTTCTTCACTATATCGAGTCTATAAGTAAATTCACTATATCGAAAGGGTTTTTATATAAACTGTTCTTCATTCTAGCAAATGGTTCACTATAACGAAAGTGACTTGTACTTTGTTACTAAAAATAGAATTACAGTCAAACCTCTCTATAATCACACTCTTGGTTTTAAGAATTTGGTGCTTATAGAGAGTTTGTGCTTATGTAGAGGTTAAATTTTATAAGTGTTATATAAGTTGGTTTTAAAAATTTATGTGACTATAAGCAAATGTGACTATAGAGGAGGTGATTATAGAGAGGTCTGACTGTATTATAAATTATTATAAGAATTACTCATATACAAGACCCCGGTGCGAATCATGTTATCTATATTAATCAACCCTGGGTTTTTTCAAATATCTAGACTATGGCTGTAAACCAAACCCGGTAATTTGGGACTTAGTAGAATTCCAAAGGTTTTTACTAAATTCTACAATTATGGCATAACCCAAACTATATTTGGAACAAGTCAAAACTTTCGACCAAATCCCAAATAGGATATCACATGATGTGAATATGATTGGTAGATTACGAGATTATCATTAATAAGATCGTTCGTTGGCTCAATTTTTATTCATATATTCTATTCATGACCTCTGGTAGGATTTAGAAGCATACTTAACAGAAGTTAAAATGCTACTCTATACAGAGAAATTACATTTCGGGAGGTAATTTTCTGTTCTTTAAATTATTTAGTGCTGCTAAATTGAAACCCGAAAGTGAATTTCAAGTTCTCATTCTTGGCGAACAGATCATATTTATAATTATAGTTTTTAGGGTTAAGTTCTCTATGGCGAAAACTTAAAATATTAACTTTCTGGTTTTAACTTGGCAGCACTCGTATTAGGTTTAAACTTGAACATTAGCTAACATATTGAGGTTTTGATTTTATATTTAAGGTCCTCTTCACAATTGGAAGCGAAAGAATATATAGCTTAATTTGTAGTTTATAGGAAATTTTAGCAGAAGATTTGGTAAGGTCATATTGATGGTAGTTGTAATTTAATAGTAAAGACTATTTAGAGTTGTCACGAACAATTGAATTAAATTTTTGATATGTAATAATTCAGAATACTATTTTTATTATTAAAGTATAATTTATTGTGTTTTATACAATAAAATGTAATAAAAATTTTATTTATAAGAGTAAGAAAACATCAAACTCTAATAAACGACTTTTAGGACAGATTCTTCATAATAAATCACGATCTATCTCTGCAGACTATTGATAATAAACAAATGAATTGTTTACTAATCTGAATTTGATTTCGATAACAGGCATAATCTATACCAGTATTTTTTAAAAAAAATAATTTTATTTTAATACAGTTCAATCCAATCTCTATTTTGATAACAGCAGTGTTAGATGTCTTATTAACATGTTTTATACTGAAGAACTTTTTTTAACAATATTTAATGAATATCTTACATGTATATTTTTCTTAATAACTAATAGCCAACGTTGAATATTATATATATATATATATATATATATTTTTTTTTTTTTTTTTTTTTTAATGAATGAATGTCTTACGTTTATATTTTGAACCTACAGTAATTCATGATGATAACAATTGCAATATTAGAAAACAGTATGTAATATTTTTATTTATGATAATACAATTTCATAATATTTATAATAAATCATCATTAAAAAATTGAAATTCTCTTTCTACAATTGCTACAGGATCGAATTCCATATTACTACTTCTTTGTGTTGTATGAGATAATTCTTCGGCATTATCTTGCCTACCAAAATTTGCATATGAAAAATCGACTATTAGACCGATTTCAAGTTTGTTATTATTTGACTGAGCAGATTCCAAAACATCTTCATCTTGTTCCAGTTCTATACTATTATTTTCTATATCAGTATAAGTAGTTAAATCTAATACATTATCACGTAGTTCACCTTCAGACAACTCTTTTCCATAATAATGAAGCTCATTTTTAAGGTTAGAAATATAAAATGAATGAATTTGAGCTATACTTTCGATTTTTTCTGGAGACAAACATGTTCTATAGGTGCCGTATAACCATCTTAAAATAGAAAAATTACATTCACAACTTGCCTGCAATGGTACAACTGCAAAAATAGCTTTTGCAAGATTCTGGAGATAGGGGTAATCATCCTCTATTACACCCCACCATAAACTGGGTATTTTAGATAAATCGTAGCCAAAGTCAAATAGGTAATCCCTGCTTTTATAATTAATTAATTGTGTAGTAAGTATTCCACATGCAACATCATCATTGTGCATACTTTTATAGAATTTGGCGGCTATCTCACAAATTCGTCAGAATATTCCTTTATGTAGGCCAAGACCTATATATTAAATTAAAAATATATGTAAATGAATTGATACTGTAAATAAATAAATAAAATATTATCACTA